CCGGGCGGTTCCGGTGGCACCGCGTTCTCCCCCGCCCCCGCCTTCATTGTGCGCTGGCAAGAATGCAGCCTCCTCCCTTGTTTATGTCGTTGGGGAGGAGGCTGCGCCAGGGGCTCGACGCGGAGGCTCCGGTACTTTATTATAAGCCTCGGTTTCCCCAGGCTTCGTTTCTCAGGTACTTCGGGGTCCTTTCTCGACTCTCCCAAGCGTGCGCCCTGGGAATGTGGAACACCTGGGCCACACTCCTGCAAATGAGCCGCCGGACCGCAGCAGCTTTACCCCCCGGGGCCTCCAAGTGCGCGCCGCCCCGGAGGGTGCCCACGGTGGCCGGCACCACAGCGTCCAACCACGACTTGGCCAGCCTTTTCGAGTGCCCCGTGTGCTTTGACTACGCGCTGCCACCCACGCTTCAGTGTCAGAGGGGCCATCTTGTCTGCAGCAACTGTCGCCCAAAGCTCACCTGTTGTCCAACCTGCCGGGGCCCCTTGGGATCCATTCGCAACTTGGCTATGGAGAAAGTGGCCAACTCAATACTTTTCCCTTGTAAGCATGCAATTTCGGGATGTGAAATAATTCTGCCCCACACAGAAAAAGCAAACCACGAAGAGCTGTGCGCGTTCCGGCTGTACCCCTGCCCCTGCCCCGGCGCGTCCTGTAAATGGCAAGGCTCCCTGAACGCTGTCATGTCGCATCTGGCGCATCAGCACAAGTCCATCACGACCCTGCGGGGAGAGAATATAGTCTTCCTTGCTACAGACATCAATCTTCCCGGGTCTGTGGACTGGGTGATGATGCAGTCGTGCTTTGGCTTTCACTTCATGTTAGTCTTGAAGAAACAGGAGAAGTATGACCGGCACCACCAGTACTTTGCAATTGTGCAGCTGATAGGAACACGAAAGCAAGCTGAAAATTTTGCTTATCGCCTTGAGCTAAGTGGTCATAAGCGGCGAATGACATGGGAAGACACCCCTCGATCTATTCATGAGGGAATTGCAACAGCCATTATGAGTAGTGACTGTCTAGTCTTTGACACCAGAATTGCACAGCTTTTTGCAGAAAGTGGCAATTTAGGCATCCATGTAACTATTTCCCTGCGTTGAAATGGCAGTCAAACATTTTTTGGCCAGTGTTTCAAACCCATTGCCTTCAATTTCAGAGAATAGGCACCCTTCTGCCTGCCAACCTGAAACTTTTGGTAGTCACATGAAGGTAAATAAAAGGAAAGGCTGTTAATTACAGGAAACAGTTGCATGTAGTTATTGGCGGCAATAACAGCACCAGGTGTTAGACTGGTGAAGTCCGACCAGATTTTGGTTCAGCAACCTCCCTATTGAGTTCTGGCTAAGAAATAATTCAGAGTCAAGACTCAAACTATAAGAGTTTATTTTTAGAAAGTCACAGAGGTAGGAGTGTGCTGTAGAAGAAATGGGCTTCAGGAAACAAGTTACAGAGGCAAAAGAAGAGCCCTTTGAACTTAGAAAAAAGAGAGAGGCAAGGAAATCACACCTGGGTGAAGGGGGTAGAGAAAGGCCTGGTGTGCTCCCCAAAGATTGCCACACTAGGTCCTCCTCCTTGAGAGTATCTGGAGGTCTCAGGGGAGGATCCCAATATTCATCAGCTTTCCAATTGTGTCCTTTCAGGGTCTGGTCTCTCCTGATTGATCAGCATCAGGACAGGGGGTCATTAGTCAGTGCAGCTGGTGTTGATGTCAGCCGTGGTGTCGCTTGCTGGCTGCTTTCCTGGGCCCGGAGCTGAATGAAACACAGCTGAGGTCTAGTTGTATTTGATGTGGGTCAAAATCTCATTGTCCAGGGGCTTAATACTTAGGGGCTATTCTCTGGCCCCCTTGTTCATTCTCCCTCTAAGAGGGTCTAACCGGCATGACTGGCAACACAGCAGGGGAGGGAAGGTCAGGGGAGGGTCTGAACCGAATGACCAGTGATATGAAAAGTCAGAGGATCTAAACTGCATGAGGAGCAATAGGCTAGGGGAAGAAGGGTTTCCATGGAGATGAGGCTCTTGTATCTCCAGTTTTGCCCCTTGCTAGGCACCCAGGGCTTTCTGCCCTGGTGACCTTCTGTACCCGGCCCATTGTCCTTGCTCTGCTCGTGTCTAACTGCCGACCACATAGTAACACTAATATATTTAAAATAAGTCAACAGTAAACATATAGGATTATACCTATTTTGTTTACCTTTCTCCATTATTATTTTTCTGTTGAACAAAAGGTACATGATAACATACTGTTCTGAAACATGGTCCCATACCCCCAATGTCCTTATTTTGGGCCTGTCTCATGCCAATTTTTTTTTACCTATTCCCAATATAATCTCAGCATAAAATTATTTCTTTACTAATTCTGCTAAACAAGCATCACAGGACTACTTCTGTGGTACAAAAAGTAAAATAAGTTCTCTCATCCTTCTAATTTAGGTTATGAATGGAACTCTGAAATTTTAGGTACGCCAGGTAATTCCAAGGATGAACCAAGGTTTGGAAACTGTCATTTTAGGTCTCAAAACTCACTTGGGTCTTCAGGAAACAAAATCTGGGAATGGGGAAACCAAGGCCTTTGGATTAGATTCCTAACTCTGCAAGTTTCCAGCCCCATGGCCTTGAACAAGTTTCCTCATCTCTTCCCAGGCAATTTTCTCACTGGTAAAACAGAGGGAAATCGGTGCTTACAAGGTTAGGATCTGCGAATCCCATTATCAAGCTTTGCACAGAAGGAAATTGATGACCCACTTGCATGCTGTAAAATTAGAGCTTTTAATTATAATTCCTGTACCTAAATATAACAAAAATTAAGCCTTAGTATAACAAATGCCACCCAACACCTTGTTCATAAATGTAAATACGTGCACATACACTTTACTGATGGGAGCATTGTCAAAAGCTGAGACCATATTACATGCCATTTATAACTTCATTGAGATTTCAATTTTACAAGGTAAATATGGGACACAACTTTTAAGACGTGATCAGACTAGTTTGTAAGGAACTTAAATAAATTTGACCACCAAGACAGAAATAGCTCATAGCTGGTTTTAGGGGGTGGTAATCAACTCTGGAGGATTGTCTGGGTTCAAATCTTAATTCTTCCTAGCTGCTATAGCTGAATCAAGCTATTTATCCAGTTCTATATCTGCTTCCTTTGTTAAATTCAACAAACTATATACCAGATACCTACTAACTGCCAGACATTTACACACACACACTTGTCCCATACCACAGTGGTTAGCACCAGGATCGAAATGTGTATCAAGTGCTTCGAATTAGCTGACAAAGTAGCAGAGTCTGTAGAGGTTTAAGTTTTAGACAGCGTCACCTGGAGGTTGATTGCCTAACTTCAAATCCTGGCTTTGCCTCTAGGTGATCTTGATTATTACTTAACCCCGGTGCCTCACCTTCCTTGTCAGCAAAATGATAGTTACCTAGCTCATAGAGTTGTTGAAAGATTAAACCAATTGATATATGTATTTGCAACAGTAGCCAGGACCCAGAAAGTGCTCCTGAAGTGTTTTATCACACAGTGCCTAACCTGACATATAGAAGGCACTCAGCCAATTAGCTTACATACCTTGCCTTGAAATTTTTTTTTGCCAAGTAAATTATGTGGTAGTATTAAGTTTTAAAAACTGGAAATGTTCATTAAAATTTTCTAAATATGAAATACTAGATTCCATAAATGAACTATAGTGCAGGATAAGCTTGTTATAGCTAAAATGTTGCTACTTGACTTTTTTATCTAAAGAATTTTTTTTATTGATTTTTAGAGAGGGAGAGAAACATTGATTCATTGTTCCACTTATTTATGTATTCATTGGTTGCTTCTTTCACATGCCCTGACCAGGGACTGAACCTGCAACCTTAGTGTATAAACCAACTGAGCTATCTGGCCAGGAACTATTGACTTTAAAAAAAAAAAAGTTGAGACATTTTCATGGTTCTCTCTCCCAGGAGTAAAATTTTAAACCAATCAGTCTGGAATTTCCTGATTAACACTAAGGAGGTATGAAGTACTCCATTTCGAGACCTGGACCATAAACACCTCCTATATGAGTCTCCATGGAGTGGCTCCAAACACCCAGAGGGCAGTAGGGCTGGTAGGTAGTCTGGGACCCTAAATGATTGTGTGTAGCAGTGCCCTCACCAGTCAACATCATTAGGCTGTAACATTTTGAAAAATGAGATAAATGGAGGTACTTTTTGAAGTTGGAGCTGCCATCCCAGTGGAACTGCCTCGCAAGTCTTCCTCTTTAAACCTTTAGAATATTCCAAGTGGGCAAATTAATCTTTGTATTGGGCCTAACGCAGCACTGTATTTAAACTGTTTGCAAAGCTAACAGGAAAATACACTTCACTACCCCACTGATTAACATGCTTTAGAATTACCATCATTAGCTTATCTGCACTTATAGAAATGCCTTCCTTCTGTTCAAGTCATTATTCACCTTCCCTTTCTCATATACCCTTTGCTTTCACCTTCTTAATGGGACACTATTTGTGTTTCTGCCTGAATGGGTGTACAGCAGCTTTGTGGACAGAAAGAGTGGTTCTACAGAAAGAAACCTCACAGGGTATCTGATTATAAATTCCTGAGCAGGTAATGGTGGGTAGTCACACCCCAAGCATGTAATAGGAAGGTTTATCATTGCCTTAAGCAAGCTGTGTCCTTTCTGTGCATCTAAATCAACACACTTTTTAAATGCTTTAGACCCCTCCTTCTAAAGCCAAACACTCAAGACCAGTCTTAACTATTTTTTAATTCAATACCCATCTTGCTCTTTCTCACCTTCATGTAATCTTCCTTAGTTTCCTCTTTAATCTCAACTGCATAAAAAACTCCTGCAAAATGCCATTCTGGGGAGCATAAACTTTCACTACAGGTTTGGACATTTCTTATGTTGACTCATTCTGTTATTTTGGATGTCAAATAAATGCCTGTTGTCTCTCAAAAAAAAAAAAAAAAAGTAAGTGTAAATCCATGGCGTTGTCTCAGCAATCATCTATATAGTAAGGCTAAATTCAATGTGAAAATTGAAGCGCCTTTTCCCAGAATTCTCTGCAGGTTACTTAAGAAAAAAAGCATAAACTAGAGAACCCTAAAACCATTTATTTATATACTTTTATTTGGAAATGTTTATGTCAGTACAGTGAAACTAAATTTTAAGAGACACTAGATGTCATTAGTTTGGATACCATTAGTTTATTATAAAAGAGACACGGAAATTATTTACATGATGAAAGATTTCAGAACTTCAATGGAATGGGCAGCTTCACATGATGCCATTTCAGTAGTGATTTATTTCAGTCTACATACTTTCCAAGAATGTCACCATCTCTAAATAAGAAATAGTCCTGCAAACAGAGAAACCATTAGTTAAGAAAAAAATCAGCAAACACTTAACTTTTAAAAATTAAGTTTTTAAAAATTTTTTTATTAAGTTACACACCTTGTCATCTAGAACTACTTTGGTGCCTCCATATTCTGGAAGAAGAACTTTATCTCCAACTTTCACGCTAACTGGTTGAATCTCTCCACCCTTAAGAAAATAAGGATATTTATCAGCAAAAACATCTAGCTCACCAAATAGTTACACCTAACCTTTGTTAATCAAATGTGCTCACTCATAAATTACTAAAAAAGGACTTGGCAGTGAAGTGATATAATAATATCTACAACTGTAGTTCTTTATTCAAAGGTATCACCAGACAGTTACATTTTGAAATAATACCCACCGCCCAATGGCCTAAATTAAAACCTGATTTCTGTGTAAAAGTTCAAGAAGTTATACAGGGAAAGCTAACTTAGGCTAATTTTTTAATGGTTAAATATTAACATAGCAACCTATGGACTGTGTGAAACCAGTTTCTAAAACCATGTATACATGGTCATGTTTCACTTCAGCAAACATTTAACAAAAAATTTCCTGAATTTGAACATATGTCTTTTGCGATTCAATTTCCTTTCCTCAAAAATAGATTTGGAAAGAGGGATTGAAGCATAGGGCCCACTTCTGAAAGGCTTCCTATTCCTGGCTGTGCTAGAACTTTCTTGGAGGCAACTGCAACAATGCAATTAACATATTTGACTCCAGGGGCATTTACTGTATATTCTGGCTGCTACTTTTAGAGGTCTGAGATCTCACCAGTTAATTGGACATTATCTGCAAGGATAGTCCCACCTGTTCCTCTCATAGGGCTGCCGCATAAGGTAAAGTGGTTAATGGATTAGGGCAATTTCGGTGTTAGAGATAAGACCAATTCTTAAAAGCCCCCAGCAATTATCTTCAAGCGTAATTTTTTGTTTTATCAAAAATTCAGAATTTGAAGAAAACACTGATCATACCAGGCTACCAAATAGCTATTGGTTTTAATATTCTCAAACTCCCCTTCATATAAAATGAGCAATTTTATTTTACAATCATTTCGTTAAAGAGACAGATCAGACATGACTGAACTAGGGAATGATCTGAAAATAATACAAACTACTTAAAAGGCTACTTTTAATAAAAACCAAGCACTTTTATTCTCCTCCACCTCACATAAAAAATAGTTCCATTTTAGCTCCCACTTACCTTTCCTTTAGAGCCCGATCCAACAGCTACTACCGTTGCCTGTAATACTTTTCCTTGAGATTTTTCTGGAAGCATAATGCCCCCTTTGGTGACAGTTTCCGCAGCACTCCTTTCAACTAATACTCGGTCAAAGAGGGGAAGAAACTTTCTAAACGCCTGTCCTGCCTGCAGGGAGAGATATTTTATGTGAAACAAAAACCAGTATGTGATTATACTCTACACGGGCAATGCCATCCTAAACGTTACAGATCAACCACCACACGTGGTTTCAAAGACAACCCAACGCAGATTATTCGCTCAGGAAACGCACTTGAAAGCTCCGCGTTACACTCCGAGTTACTCTGCATTCCCTACGTACCGTCGGCAGCTAGACGAGCTGTAAAGGTAACCTTAGTTTACCCCAAGGTCAAGTATTTTCCTTCCTTAGGTTCTTCAGGGCATTTTCCGCAACACTGAAACCAACCTCTGCGCCCAAGGCCACGCTCTCTCCACCCTGTTACACACCGACAGAGGCCGAGCGCGTCCGGGCGCCCGCCCCTCCACCACACGCCCGCCGCGCACGCCAGGGCACAGCCCTCGGCGCAGGGAAAGGTGAGCGAGCCTGGTGTCCCCAGATTTCGGCAGGTGCGGGCCCCAGAGTGACCCCTCCCCCTCCCACTGTTCTCAACAGAACCCTCTGGGCTCCCGGTACGCCTGAGGCCTACCGGGGCCCGCGGGCCTCCAGCCCACGCGCGACTCACCATGACTGCGACCGCCACAGCTCGTACTCCGCTCTCGCGCCGCGGCCGCAAGCAAAGACCCGCAGTCCGGCCCGCTGGCCACGTGAGCTTAGGCAAAGGCCGCCCAGCGCGCAGGCGTGCTCCCCCCCGCCCCCAGCCCCTCCCCG